ATGGATGAATGGGCAGATACTTTTGGGTGGCCGGTTGGCTTGGCATGCCTGTGTTAGTACTTACGTGCGACGGAATCGAATCGCAGCAGTTGTTAAGGACGCAGACAGCCAGCTGGGTGGAGGGAGTGTGAAAGTGAAGGCAGCTCTCAAGAGACCGACCGACACAAAGGAGTGAGTTCAATCGCTCAGCCTGCTATTCAGACCACCTCTCTGCATCATCTGCTTGCCGCTTGCGCCGCTGCGTCATTCGTTCAATCCTCTTGCACAAACCGAACTTAGCTCGCAAATGAATGCGCCGCAATGGCTGCATCTGGTGACGATGATAGTCTCTCGTGCAGCATCTGTAGCAGCGGATTCACGAGCACAGGGGAGCACGAGCCGCGGCAACTTAGATGCGGTAAGGACGTGTGCCCACCACGAATGACTGGCGGAGGGAAGGAGCGCCGAGGGCGCTCTAGCTCTGTGTGTGACACTGTGCTGTTGTTTGTCTGTCAGGCCACTCGTATTGCGCACATGTGAGAATCTCAACAAAGAGGCAGCTGTGAATTATGTACTGAAGCCTGGGGGCACGTGTGTGGTGTGTGGTGTCCAGTGTGTTGGAGACCTCCGTCGCAATGCCCAAAACAACATCATCAGATGCCCTCTCAGGTGCCGGTAAGGCACAGGAATTGACACAGGACGACTCTCCATGCTCACTTTCTTCGCTTCGTGTGCCGTCTTCGCTGCCGTATCGTTCAGGGTGACCACGCCAGCCGCCAAGGATATTCCGAAGAATTACCTGGCAGCGGCAGCAATCGAGCGTCATGAGCAGCAAGGTATGCGAATGCATGCACATGAGTGCACCGGAGGCTCTGTGTGGCAATGTTCGTCTCGTTCTGCTGGTGTGTGTAGAGCGTGCTCGCATGGCTGCGTTGTACAAGTGCGTCACGGCTGCCCATTTGCTGACTCGTGATGAGACCCATATGGTCATCAAAACGTGTCACCTGGAGCATGAGGTGGACATGGAGGCGGGGCTGTCATCGATGCGCTCGCGGCTCCACACACTGATGACAGTATGTCATGGCTGGAGAGATCACACGTGGCCATGTCACGATGTCATCCTATGCTATTCTATGTAGTCACCGATTGAGGGCAGCGTTGTGAGCAGGTTTCAGGCCAAGTTGCTCACTAAGTGGATCGAGGGCAACAAGTCGTTGCGGTCCATCTACCGGTGAACAAACGCAAAACAAACTGAGACAGAGGGCTAGACTTACCTTTTCTGTCTATGTGTGTGTGTGTGCTGCTCATTCAGGGCGACTCGTGACGGACCATCGTACACGGACTTCCTGCGGTGTGTAGGAGATGCAAAGGGCCTGGTGTTCTTCATCTCCAAGGACACCTACCTGTTCGGCGCCTACATCAGAGACGGCATCAAGCCACCCGATGACCTAAGAGGCCAGAACGACTACAAGTGTGATGGGTGGCAATTCTCGCTGTCAGGCCACTTCCACAACCCGACAAGACTGACGGAGGGGAGGTGGGATGTGTCGGTTGCCGGGCGGGAGAGGCCACCGTCACGTTACCCACCCTCGCTCATCGTGTTTTGGGCTGTAGTAGCTGGGAGTGGGGCGCTATGCCTGGGTCATGGGCATGTAGGTTTTTCATCCATGCGCGAATGCGGTCAGTGCCTGTGGGGCCATGATGTGCCTGAGGGCTATCTCGGGGTGAGAAATGAGTATGGCGGTGCTGTGTTCGGTGGCAGCGACCGGTTCATGGCTGATGATGTGGAGGTGCTGAGAGTCACGTGAGGCGCGCGTGAGTGAGAGGTTAATTAGATCACGGGACAGATCAGGTGTGGGCACACGCACGCCAGCGTCGATCTAATGAATATCTACGGTTGCACATGCAGCCGTTGTGATCTACAAATGCCGCTGACGATTGACGACAGCCACCAATGCTGACGGCATTGCTCCCCTCCTGTCTGCTGCTTCTCGGCACGGCAGCCAGCGCGCATGCTGCTCACAGCCACACGGCGCTTTGTGGAGGACGCCCAGCGTGTCCCCTGTCAGAGGCACACGCGGCGGTCGGCAGCGCTGTCAGCAATGCCCTCAAGCCAATCGCTGTCGATTCTCTCTTCGACAACCAGGCCGTTCTGAACACGACTGATGAGCGAGTGACGGACGCCATCTTCTGTCAGCTGAAGGCTACCGATGTCGCCGTCGGCGAAACAGCGCCGAAGACCATTGAGCTGATCGGCCCGAGGATTGTCTTTGAAGGTCCCAATGCCACCCTCTGGAGGATCGGCACGGCCATCACTCTCGAGAATGGCCTTGTGAGCATCAGCTTGAGCAGCAACACAGACATCGAGGGCGAGGACACTTTTGAGGTCAACATCGACGCCTCCGCGGCTGCCAGCAACAGGAGCAGCCCCGGCATAGACGCCATGTGCGATGTCTTGGTGGCCGCAATGGACACCGAGCATCCTCGGCTGGCTGTGAGCCAGGACGGCTCTCACGTCAGGGTCTCCCCCCTAAGGCGCAAAGCCTCCAGCACGATAGGAGGCCCACACAAACCGAGGACGGACGAGCCGGGCATGCTCAGCCTGCTGCAGGCTTACCAACACGCCGTCAGCGAACCAGACAAGGAGCTCTTGGCGGTCGCGAAAAGGGAACTCCAGCGCCGCAACGATCGGCTTGTGGGCGAAGGGTTTCTGGCCAACGACAAGCTGATCAAGGACGCGGGCAAGCTCCTGAAAGAGCCCATCACCGAGGCGCCCACTGAGGAGAAGGTGCCGAACCTGGTCGTGCCGACAGTGGTGCCTGGGCAGGACGGCGTGTTCCCGCGATTCGACGAGCTGATCGACGCCGTGCCGTCGACCAACCTGGGTGACGCGTTGCGCGCCATCGGCATCCCTATCACGGAGAGATACGTCAACAGCACTGTCGGTCAAGTGCAAAACGCCATCGGCGACCTCGTCAATTCAATCGAGGTCAGGTCACGCACATATACACAGATACACAGAACGAAGATCGGTGCTTGCATGTGTGTGTCGACGCATCCTCGTTCAGCGATTTGTAACGGCGTACATCACGCCGGAGAACCTCGATCGCCTGGAGCTGGAGCCGCTTGTGAGTGCTATCGAGCAGGCAGCGTTGGGGCTCTCGCCGCTCTACCAAGTCAATGCCACCGACCCCATCTACACAGTAAGTACGCCACACACCCGCATCCGTGCGCCCTTCGCTTCCTCGATGTGTCCTTTTTCTCCTTTGCAGTTCGCCCGCGGGGTCACGGAGAACGTCTGGTCGGCGTCCCAGCTCGTGGACCGGCCGGAGGCTCAGCGAGTTGTCGACGATCTGGTGCAGGACCGTCTTGCAGATGCCATTGCGTAAGCGGCAGACGATACGCAGAAAGGGAGTAATTGTGGGGTGTGTGTGTGAATGCAGGTGTGCTATTATTGGCAACAGCAACAGTGAGAAGTGCCCTGTGGACTCTATCCTTCCCGCATCGCCGTTGCTGGTCCCGACTACCCCAACACCCGGGGGAGTCATCAACTCATTCGGCTTTCCGCGTACGTAGGCTCGCTCTCACACAGCTAGAAAATTCATGTTTTACTGGTGTGTAATGTGTGGATGATGTGTGCCCCGCCATGTCATGGAACTGACATCAGAGTGCATCGAGGTGAGCGGCTACCAACCACTTTGCGAGCCGATCAACTTCGCCGGCGGCCTTGCGTGCATCGCTGGCCGATCCCTCGAGCCCCAGAACTTCGACGGTATCAAAAGACAGACAGACCGCACAGACACCACACACGCATCCATTCACCTGGGCTCTGGTGTCTGTCTGTCTGTTCCCCAGGTGTCTACACGTTTGACATTCTAGACCGGTTCGGCTTCCCCATCTACGGGAAGGGAGCGCGCCTCACGGGGGAGGTCGTCGATTTCCCCTTCTCCCAGGCGACAAGAGAACTCTTTCTCTCGCGGACGCCCGGCGAAGTGGGCACCAACACCTTCCTCCCACAAGTGGGCACCTTCGGGACCATCACGCCCAACGAGCCGAACTTTAACGTAGGCAGAACAAACGCTCACATACATCAGATCAGACGACGTGTTGTGATATGATATGTGCTGGGTGCAGGAGGTGGGCCTGGGCACCCGTCCGCCATTCGCCACTACGGCAGCGGGCGAGGGCGAGAGCATCGCGCCCATCGGCTGTGATGCGATCGATCCATTTGGCGGTGAGGGGTTTCCTCAGTGTCTCTCGGGTGGCACGTGGATCTTGGGCCGTGCCGGCAGTGGCACCTGCACGGGGGTGGTCATCCAGGGTGGTGCCAGCTGCATTTTTGGCCTGCCCTCCCCGCAGATCGAGGAGATCACCATCACGCCAGTCGACTGCCCGTTCCTCCCGCCACCCTTCCCGAGGCCATAGATGACTAGACGGGCAGCCAGACAGACGGGGAGACCTTGATTGATTGTGTCGTGTGGCCTGTTGCCCATTAGGTCGGTCCTATCCTATGCGGTCGAATATTCTATATGTACATGTACGTGTGTGTGCGTCTTATCTCTGAGTCTCGCTTGTCTGCCTGAATAGATGGGATGGAGATCCTGTCGGTCGATTTGCATGTTATGTTGGTGCGGTGCGTGCCTCCGCTGTCCGCGCTGTTACATATTTGTCTTGTTGGTCGGTCGCTACGTACCTGTTTATTCGTACGTCTGTGGCTGCATTTCATCGCCGAGAGTGAAAATGCTCTCATACAAACACTTTCATGTGGCTGTGTGCCTGCCCTCTGTGTGTGTGTGTGTTCCCTGTCGGGGTGGGGGTTCGTGTGTGGATGGAATTCAAACCAGGTTCAAAACACCGTCTTGCGTGTGCCAATTATTTGATCGGGGGGATAAGGAGATGATTGACGATGGGATGCATGTGCGTGTGTTGTGGGCATCGGCGACTGAGGGACACGCCCAGACGAACAACCGAACGACGAACAGTAGTTAGCAACAAGCAACTAAATGTCTTCCACACATGCACCCCTTCAGCCACCAGCCGTCACTCCCATCACACGATAGATAATCCGTGCAGCGGCTGCATGCCGCACCAACACAGCAACAGTTGAGCCACAAACCGACCCCCCAATGCGCAACACACGACAGCCACACTCACCCCCCACTCGCCCCCTTTCTTCTCGGCTGACCCTTTCTTGGCCGTCACCACGAGCGTGTTGAGAGCGATGGTGTTAGCCAAGGCCACGAAGCCCTGCAGCGGCACCGCCATGTGGGCCAGATGGCGCCCATCGCCCCACACCATCAGTAGCAGCACCCCCAGCTTCCCATGCATCGACAGCAGTGCCGCCGACAGCACGCTCAGGGCACTCGGAGTCTGTGACGGCAGCAGCCGCCTCGTCAGGACGCACAACAGCCACAGATAAACCGCCAACTCTCCCGCCGCGCTGACCAGCATTCGCCACTCGGCGTGATGAATGTTGCTGACGCAGCGGTGGTATGTTGTGGCAGATACGAGGCCGAAACGCGACGATAACCAGCCGACCCACCCGTGGGAATGATCGTCGCACGAGCCACTGCGCGTGAGGGCCCACATGACGTAGGTGTCGAAGAAGAGCACCGCGATGGCCACCTTGAGCAGAAGTCGCACAAGAGGCCCCGCCCAACCGTCATGCCGCTGCCCCTGCTGTTGGCTTGCGGGAAGGCGGTTGAATAGCACGTGCCGATAGGCAGCCTGCACACATGGCAGGTACATATGCATCCATTTGATTGTGTCACTCATACGCACCCACCTGACCTGTCTGTGCAGAAGAATGTCGATGCAGACGAGGAGCGTCTGGTACTCGACGTATCGGTCGGCCGGCGCACCGCACTCGTCGCAGCGCTGCAGAGAGATGTTGCCCCTGCTGTACACGCGATAGATGAGAGCAACTGGGGCGCCACACTCCACACAGACGTACGCCATCCCCCTCAGCTGGCTGCAATTCGCAGATCCATGATAAACGGCAGGTGTCGGAGCCCCGGGAGCATACAAAGCACCCACGCGCGTCGCGAGCTTGAGCTCGCGACGCCGAGCCAATCGGCCAACTTCAAAACCCACTTTCAACACACTTCCTGATGCCTCTCAGCCGTAGCATCAGCTAAACACACACGAAGACAGAGCCCTTCCGCTCGTCCATCACAGCCGCCTTCCCTTCTCTCCCCACCCTCGCTATGATGGACCAAGCAAATGACACTTTGGACCACTCGATGTTCATGCGGAGCGAGCTGCTCAACGTGCTTAGCGACGTCAAAACCAAAGTCCAGGACAAACTCGGTCAGCAACTGAACGAGCACCACCGTGACGGCGGGCGGCCCCATGGATTGTGTCTGTTCGTTTGGATGATACACGCTGCAGGTATTGTTGATTTTCCCATCCCTCAGTTCATCATCATTGGCAAGCAGTCGGTGGGCAAGTCGAGACTCATTGAGGCGCTGGCCGGCGAACAGTTCACTTTCGTCTCGGGCACATTGGGTCTTTCCACGCAAGAGTTTATGGCCGGAGGATTGATCAACATGTCCGTGTGTTGTGTGTCCAGGCTCCCGGCGGCCCACCATTATCGAGTTCCGCAACGTCATCGCCAACAGGACGTCCAAATGGCAGGTGGGTTGCATACATACACGACAGGAGCATGGCTGCAGAGCAGGTCTGTGTGTATGTGTGAGGAGCTGTCTACAGGTGATGGACAAGAAGACCAACAAGTGGGAGGAGATGCCCGTCAAGAAAGTCATGAGCCTCCTCTCAGAAGCGCACGAGTCTCTCGGTATCTAGCACGCACGCACCATTCTCGGAGCATTTGTCCGCACGGTTTGTGCCTGTGTGTACCTGAAGGTGCGTCTGTGACGGCCGAGCCCGTCTACGTGCGCATCGAGTCGGCACACTGTGTCGACATGCAGGTCGTCGATCTGCCAGGCTTTCGCGAATTCGCCATCGACAAGGGCAAAGAGGACCTCGCGAGGCAGATTGATACACTCGTATACACAGACAGCAACACGCACTAGTGGATGGAAGGAATGCACAGCCGTCCATGACTTGGGCATGTCCGCTTGCAGAACATGAGTTTCATGAGCGATTCCCGAAACGTGATGGTCTGTGTCGAGGAGGCAGGTACACACATAGATAGACACGGAGACATGAAGGAAAGATCCGTCTATCTCTCTATGTGCAGGCGACGCTGCCAATATGTCTACCCTTGCCCGGTGTAAGACCATCGACCCGAGATTCCAAAGGACGGTGCTGGTGCGGAATAAGCTGGATAAGTATTACCGGGATCTCACCAACGAGAACGTCAACGCTTGGCTGGTCGGTCCGTCGCTGCACACACACACACACACATACGCCATCCATGAAGCATACCTCAATGTCCGGGTGGCTGTAGGACGGCTATGGCGACCTGCCGGTTGACCTGATGAAATTCTGCCTCACATTACCACACTGGAACGAAAAAGAGGCAAGCAAGCATTTTCCCCCGTGCGCGCACCTGTCTCTCTATATCATGTGGATTTGCCGTCATGTCTCGTTCATGCAGCCGGCCCCCGCGCCCTTTGTCGAGCTGCGCCAACGCATGGACGCACAGGACGTGCTCGAACTCAAGACCAGGGGGGCCTCAGAAAAGTCCGTCAGCGACACGCACCGTGAATGTGTTTATGTATGGCTGCATGCGTCGATCAATGCGGTGGGTGTGCAGGTACATGAACACAATTGGCTTCAGGAACTTTTCGTGCTACATGGAACAAAGGATAGAAAGGATGTTCGTCGACGCCATCGGACCGGTGATTCGAAAGACATACACAGATGCGCGTGTGTCTCGATGGAGACAAATGAGTACTTCTCTCTTTCCCCCTTTACGTGTGTGCAGGTGGTGAAGAAGCTGCGAGAATTGAAGGAACAGGAGGCGGAACAAGTGGCCTTTCTCAAAGACGAGCTCAAAGACACCAGTACACACATCATTGTGGCATCAGTGGTGCACGTGCGAAACGCATTTGGGGCCTTTGTATTGCTGCGTGCGTGTTGTGTGCCTGTGTGTAGACCCCGAGACGATCGTGACGACAATGCGGGATTGTGGCATGTCGTTTGCGCATGCACTCAACCACGTCATGGAGGGATACGTCAACTCCAACGTACACACCCATTTGCACACACCCCTTGGGCGGAGTATCATTGTGTGCTGTTTTCAGGTGGGCAGAGTGACTTTGGAGGAAGAGCTCAGGGACTTTCATGGTACACACACAAATAGACACATATTACCTTTGGACGGGCGTGTGCGTGCCCACGCGGACACTCCCTCACAGCATTTTACAACGCGCAAGGCGTCGATTGGCCGATGCTGCCGTCAGAGGACTTTGCGGGACTCGGTCGGTACACACAAGCACCAGCTATGCACAGATATGCATGCGTGATCTGAATGCATGTGTCCGTCTCCTGTCTCCTTGCGTGTGGGGTGCAGATGACTACATCGAGTACTTGAAGAGTGACCTGCAGATCGCTGCCTTCGACATAGAGGTCAATGGCGGCGCGCAGTTCAGGCGACTCATGTACGAGACAGAGGTACGTAACGTGCGCATAGCATACAATACATGCACATGTGTCTCTCTGTGTATGTGATGTGCATGCAGGTGTTCCTGCGCTTTGCCGAGATCGGGGTGCAAACCTCCAAGCGTGATGTGGTGCAGGCGAGAGGTCCGTCTCGTCGGCAAACAGACAGAAAGGAACAACTTAGGCATGCGCTCGTGTGCATGGTTGTGTATCCACGCAGGTGTGTCGATGGGCCAGGTGTCATGGCGAGACGTCATCGTGAAGCTGCTTTCCAACGAGGCACACCTGCCCATGAAGCAGAGAGTCCAGTGAGACACACACACAATGTGATGTATACACATACAACACACGTGTCCATGTTTCCCTGTGTGTGTGTGTACGTGTGTGTGCAGGTATGTGGCCCACAGAATGCGGCGGTTTTTTGAGCTGCAAAAGGATGTGGTCATCGATTTCATGAGCGGGCTCAAGGTTGGCATGGCACACACGAGTGCAATAACGTACATGCGCGGTGCGGATGTCTCTCTCTGTGCAGGGGTCGGCTGACGAGCACATGTATTCGGCTCTGTACACAAAGCACGTCAAGCTCATGATGCACAATGAGATGATCAAAGTGAGCCAGCTCAAAGGCGCGACGAGAACACGCGACAGATCTGTACACATGTGTGTCCTATTGCGGGACAGAATCTGGTTTTCTCGACATTTGACACGGTGGTTGAGCGTCAGATGCATCAGTTCCTGGACCTTTTCTCCAACACAATGACATCCACATTCAGGTATGCACACCCATCGAGACAGACAGGGACACATATGTATTCATTCATTCTCTGCGTTCGGTCGTTCAGCAATCCCTGGGTGTTCCTCAAGAAGAACAGCACCGTCCTGGAGGTGTGTGTGAAGGAGCAAGGACATGCATTCGTCGCATCCGTTGCATTGCATTCGTGTGCCGAGTGTAGGACTCGGATGGCTTTGAGGAGGCGTTGCCGAGTTTTGAGGACACCAAGGCGAGAATACCAATGGTACACATGCATTCATGTCATACGCCCGCCCGCCCGCCCCTGTCCATCAACACACACACACGTCTGCGCGCAGGAGATCGGTACACGCAGCGGGATTGACAGCATACTGGCGCGGTGGATCGGCGACATTCCTGTCGAGGCCACGCAGGCAAGAATGAATTGCGCATTGCTTGTGGGTTCGTGTGCATCGGTCCATGAGTACAGATGGACGAGGCCGTCGAGAAGGTGCAGTCGCTCGTCAACAAGGCAAGTAGACACACATAAGCACACCAAGCGAGATACGGTGACGGTATGTCTCCCGCTGCCTCCTTGCAGACTTTTGCTTTCATCAGGTCGCAGATCAGCGACCAGGTCTGCATGCTCGCAACACCCTCACACAAAAGAGCATAGCTGGTCAGCGATGTTGTGCGTATGTGTGCATGTGTGTGTGTCATTGCAGGTAGAGTTGTTTGCTGAGTCGTTCTTCAAGCTGCCGCTGATGAGGAAAATGGAGGAAGACATGAAGAGCATCGAACTCAACGACGTACGCACCAGGAACACGCGCACACTGTTCGCATATCGATGTGCGTGTCTCAGGTCGACAAGGAGACATACGAGGTGCGTCGGCAGTTTTTGGAGCAGACGCTCAAGAGGCACCAGGACGGCCTCAACGGGGTGCAGGAGTGCCTCAACAAACTCACCGCTTTTTCTATGTATGTGTCCAATGCATGGCTGCCATTCATGTCTATTCGCGCGTCTGTTTGTGACTGCAGGAAGTTCAAGAGCCGCTCGCCACACACAATTGCCTTCACACACGACAGGAGGCAATGAGTGTGAGTGTGTCCTCGTGCGTGTCTCTCCCGTCCGTGTGTTGTCCATTCGCGTCTTGGCCTCTGTATATTTATGAGACATCGTTGTGTGTGTTCACTTAACGGATTCATGCGAACGGACGGTGAATACACTCTTACGTACCACAGCAGAGGTACGTAGCAGTTCCTATATTATGTGACGCGGCGCGGACTCAGCAAGTAGTCGCCGTCAGCTTCAAGTTGCTCTCGGAAGAGTTTGACCCCCCCGTTGCCCCGTCGCCGTCATCGGCAGGCTCGTCCGTCTGGTGTGGAGCCTTGCAAGCGGGCACCTCGGACCAGTGCAGCAGGCGCTTGGAACCTGACTGCTCAGTACTGGTCCGAGCTGACCTCTGGGGGCTGGGGGGGGTCTGGCCGTCTCCGAGTACTGAGTACTGCTAGTAGTACTACCATCGCAACTGTACTGCTACTAGTAGTAGGTCCCTGCGCTCTAGAATGTGGGACTGCTTGCACGCGCAGCGCACCCCACGTCTACAAGGCCAAGAAAGTGGCCATTTTGAAAGTGGCAGCTACATCCAGCTGCCGACGTCGGAACTTGCCGCACAGGATGCCACCCATCATGGACGAACAGGCCATCCCAAGGTCGGTTTGCAATGCTCTCAATGACTCTGAATTACATGTCTGCATTTGTCTGCATGCGTCGTGATACAGTCAATGACATCGGGCTCGAGCGACCGTGCCCCTCTGCTAGCGGATGACGAGGGGCTGATAGAGGAGCTCCAGCTGGCTGACGTCACAACAGATGAGCCCTCTCATGCACCCAGACGGCTCGAGCAGGTACGACACGCTGTGAGCGTAATCCTGACAGCCGGGAGCACACTTGCAGGTGCCATTGGTGGGTGCCCCGGCCGCCGACGGTTGGGAACGACTGATGCCCTGAGAGACAGCATCATCAAAGCCATCGATGAATCAGACCCGGAGGGTTTGAGAAAGGCCCTTGCCGATTTGTCGCCTGATCAAGCGGAGAAAGTGCTGACGACTGGACAATGGGGCGACAAGGAGAATGACTCTGCCATCCACTATGCCGCACGTATACGCCCACATCACATGCATGAGGCAGCCGTGCATAACAGCCTCAGTGACGTGTGTGCTTCTCAGGACACTGCATCGATGTGGAGCTGTTTGAGGTACTGCTCCAAGACCGACGTCACCTGCTCAACCTGAGAAAAAAAAGCGGTCCATGTTCGAGATTCGCTTTTGCTCTGCCACTACCAACCAAGGCTGTCTCTCTCTCCTGTGTGTGCAGTATGGCACCATGCCTCTTCATTGTGCAGCAGGAGAGAGTGGTGCAGCTCCTGTCGTGGAGAAGTTCGTCGAGTGGGGCGGCGACGGTCTGTTGGAAGCTCAGGAATTCACGGTACAGCTCGATCAGAACGTGAAAGAGAGACCGCCCTTTTACTCTCTAAGTCAGGCAAAGCGCACTCCTCTTTACTACGCAGCAGGTCAACCACTTATATAGATGGACTATTTCACAAATCCTTCTTTGTTGTCCTTCAGCAAATGACCATCTTGAAGTGGTGGAGTGGATATTGAAGAGGAACCCAGACCTGCTGAAGATCGGGGGTGTAGTAAGCTGCACTGCACTGACCAATGCGTGTCGAAACCGTCTCTGCTCATAACTCTGACAGGACGGAAAGACGCCGCTGAACATTGCCAAGCCAAAAGCCGTTGCTGTAATGGTCGCTGTGGCTGGAACCACGGTCATGGAGCTCCTTACAAGTGGTAAATCGCCAGAGCCTCATGGACTTTCGGGAGTGGTACCGGGCGTGAAACGATTCCTGAAGGACGGCAGTGAGTCGCCGGGCCTGGACACCCTTCGGTGGTGTTCCGTGTTTCGCCAACTGATGCAGTCGCGGCCAAAGGATTCTCTCGCAGAGTAAGAGAAGTCTCGCAGCCAGAGCCTCTGTATCCGTTCTGCTTGATGGGCCTGCAGTGATCTTATGAACATAGCAGACTGGCAGGAGGTAAAGAAGAAAACAGAGCATCCATCACTTCTGAGGCGTCGAATTAGCTCAGGCGTTCACGGCATTCTGCGCCGATACAGATGAAGCGCAGTTCCAATACTTACTTGGGGGCAAAGAGAAAGAGTGGTTTGCGCTGCTGGAATCTGCAGAGCCCCTGCAAGTGGTCATACAAGGTGAGCCTCATAAGAGCCTGACTCCGTCGCCCGCTGCATGTCTCCTTCTCCGTGCTCTGGATCCCTGCGACAGCCAACTCCGTCGCATTCGTGACATGCTTTTGGCGAAACAGATATACTCTCTCGGACGACGAGCTGTCGCAAATGCTGTCGCCCCGCATAGTTTTCTTCACCCGAGCGCTATCCATGCTTCTGATGTGGCTAGCATATCAATGAAGCAACTAGTCACATGGCATGGCATCCCTTTGTGTGTGTCAGGGTGGCCTTCGTGCTGCTCCACATCCAGTCGATCAAAGAGGACAGCGGTGTGATGTTGACGTGGCTATGGGGTACAGTGCTCACAGGTGCGGACAGAGTGACACACATGTTGATCAGGCATGTATCGTCACATGTTGATCAGGTGTGGGATTCATCCTGCTGGAGACGTTCCAAGTGCAGAGACATGCTTGATCAACATGTGTGTCACTCGGTGCGTGTGTACTTGCAGGCCATCCGCTTGAAGGCTTCGTACTGGGCAGACTCATGGTGTGCGTCAGGCGTGCAATGCCAACTGTGCTGGCCTTCATCTGTGCATCTGCGTGCTGTTGGTGTGGGCTTCAGGAACATCATCGACTTCGCGTGCTCCCTGTCAATCGCAGGCTTCATTGCCATTCACTTCGCTGGCTGGTCGTCGTCGGCGGAAATGAGCTCAGGGATAGTGATCGCGCTCGGCTTTGCCTTGCGCCTCCTGCAAACTGCCTCTCTGCACCCCGCCGTCGGGCCACTCATCCTGTGAGGCGGCTAAGGCAACCAGGATTGTGTCTATCATTGTGCTGTTGTCAACCATTTGATGTATTCTCAAATGGATCAGGGCCATTCTGAGGATGCTGTCGGACATCAGCATCTTCCTGTTTGTATATCTTTACATCCTGATGGTATTCGCCGGGATGTTCACTCTTCTCTCATCCGATGGAGACAGCGAATACTTCGGCAACTACGGCAAAGCCATGCTCACACTGTACGTATATGTGTGTGTGGATGAAAAGAAGACTGCGCCACTCACATGGCTGCAGTTTCTACGCCGGCCTTGGAGACTTTAATGCCGCCTTGGACAAAGCCATCGAGAGCCACGACACCGTGCGCACCGTCCTGCTGTTCATCTACGTCGTCCTGTCATCCATCATACTCTGAGCCCCACACGCGCAGCACCACACGCATCGATGGACACGGAATGCCCTCTTTGCTGTCTCACCATGGTTGCCCTCCAAAACAGCTGAACCTGCTGATCGCCATAATGGTGAGACATACACAGACGAGGAGGATGGAGTGTCCCAAAGCTGATTAATGTTCCTGTGTGTGTCAGGCATCTACGTTTGCGGCAATCGAGCAGACACAGACCGCGCAATACCAGTATCATGCGCTGACAAAGCGCATGACAGCGGTATGTCATGAGAGGGTCTGTCCGCTCATGTATGAATGCAGGCTGCTGCGCATTCGCGTCTTGAACGAATTTCTCACTATGCCAATGCACGAACGATTTCCGCCACCATTCAACCTCATCGGTCGGTGCCCTCAAACTCCGGCATGAGAGATGCATTGTGCGTCCATCATGTGTGGGCATCTGTGTCTGCAGCTGTGACTGTGTCGGTGCCCTTGCGGTATCTCGCCTCCTTCATAAGCGAAGAGCGGCGACAGCAGTCGGCACTCTATCGCATTGCCTTCTGGTTGATCAAGGCTCTGTACACTACCATCGACGCCATCCTGTACGCCATCGCCTTCACGCCCGCACAAATTTATACTCAACTGGAGAGGATTCCATCATACATACAGCAAGGGCGCTACTGCTGGGCACTCCAAGCGGTGTGTTCCGTCTTCTTGATGCCCCTGCCTCTTCTGTACCAATTACTGGCACCTTCCTCACTCACAGTGAGTGAGGAAAGCAGATCGATCCGTCATTTTCCACTTCTGTCGTGCGCTGCCACAGGAGTTTTCTGGGCCCATAGGGGGATTGAGAGCCAAGTGGGATGAAATGACTGACGATGAGAAAGCTGAAATGAGACGATTTGCACGGTATGGACCCACCGAGGAATGGTATGCCCAAATGAGGCGCTACGAGTACAACAATATCAAAGGCAGCATCGACAAGTCGATTGCGGCCGCAGATCACCACGACTCCAACTTCCCTGACGTCATGACAGGTGAACCACACACAGCTACATCGACAGTAGCAGGCAGTCGAGCAGGAGGAGCAAGTTGTGTCTCTTTTGATGCCCTAAAGCGCTGAACATCTTCCAAGAGTACGTCAAAGATGAGGTCCAGCCAGGTGAGAAAGACAATCTAACTACCCAGGCTTTCTGCATTTGTTTTCATTTCCAGTCTTGCAAGACGTGCAAACACGAATGACGGACATGGAGACGCACATCAAGACAAAGATGGGAATCAGGCTGACGAGGATGGAGAGGAATATGGAGCGATTGATAACGATGAAGACGGAGATGGAGACAGACATCAAGGTCATCAAGGCAAAGCTCGAGGAGAAAATGGGATAGGAGTGGGACACCGACTGTATGCTCGATGGACATGATAAGATGGTCACCGCACACATACCGACGGCTAATACCATCTTAGCCACCCGGTCTGAATACTAACTTGCCCGTTCACACTGGCATCAACTATCTAAAGCAGTTGCACGTTCACATTGGCACCCCATTCAAGGAGTCGCTCGTGCCGACTCGTGCCAATGTGTGCATTATCTCGAAGGCAGCTCAAAGCGCACAGTTTGTTGTGTGGGACAAGTGGCGAGAAAATTTATCAAATATCCCGAGACACAATGGGTAACCTGAGGGGGGAAGACGAAAGACAGTCCACCTATCTTGCGCGCATATTTTGCAGATCCTCTCCACCTATTCTGACATCTTTGGCATCGTTCAAATTTTCGTCAGCCCTTTGTGACCAGAGACCGTCACAATCGTCACCCGCAGCCGGTAGAGGGACACGGAGGCAGACAGCCGAGTGGACGTGTGGCACACAGCTGATGATGCACTGCAGGCAAGAGAGTGGATAGAGAGAGACAAAAACGGTGACTGACACGCTCACAAACGTATACATGCACCGTGCATACACAGACGACCTCTCTTCGTCCGCCATGAACCCGGCCATATGTGTGTGTCATTGCAGGTAGAGTTGTTTGCTGAGTCGTTCTTCAAGCTGCCGCTGATGAGGAAAATGGAGGAAGACATGAAGAGCATCGAACTCAACGACGTACGCACCAGGAACACGCGCACACTGTTCGCATATCGATGTGCGTGTCTCAAGTCGACAGGGAGACATACGAGGTGCGTCGGCAGTTTTTGGAGCAGACGCTCAAGAGGCACCAGGACGGCCTCAACGGGGTGCAGGAGTGCCTCAACAAACTCACCGCTTTTTCTATGTATGTGTCCAATGCATGGCTGCCATTCATGTCTATTCGCGCGTCTGTTTGTGACTGCAGGAAGTTCAAGAGCCGCTCGCCACACACAATTGCCTTCACACACGACAGGAGGCAATGAGTGTGAGTGTGTCCTCGTGCGTGTCTCTCCCGTCCGTGTGTTGTCCATTCGCGTCTTGGCCCTCTGCACATTTATGAGACATCGTTGTGTGTGTTCACTTAACGAATTCATGCGAATTTCCCGCAGCACCACAAGGGGCATGTATACTAGTAGAGGAGATGAGCGGCCGGCCGATGCTGCTGAACGTGTGTATGTGATGGTTGGTGTGCCGGTGGAGTCAGGCTTGCCGTGAAATGCGAGCTCGGAAATCTCAGGAATTGAATTGTCGCGCCACGCGAGGCCAATGGGGCGAAATGTGCGCTGTTTGACGTTCGTAGGATGTAACCATACTGCAAGCAGTCATCGGTCGGTTGCTTGACCGCGGCGCGTAGGATGGCGGCGAGCAGTGCTGCTGGTAATGACGGCCCGGAGGAGAAGACGAAAGAGGACTTCCACCACCTCTTCACCTTCACAAGCAGTCATAAAGCCGGTACGGTGTGTGAATGCATGCAAGATCCGCCTCACTGCAATTGCTGCTGTGTGCGTGGGATCCATCAGGGATGGACAAGGTGGACCGGGAGAAGGCCAACCAGATCATCTATGAGATGTCCAAGGACAGCAGCTACTTCAAGAATGAGCAGCGCAAGGCCGCAGAAGTGGACAAGCAGATCACAGAGATGCTGGCGAAAGCAGACGCATATCGGTCGGTATCAGGGCAGACAGACAGGGGAGGGGAGGGGAGGGGAGGCTGGTATGCAATCTGTGCACGTGTGTACGCTGCGCGTGTGTGCTGGATGGTCAGGAACTCGCCGCCCGAGATGCGCCTGAAGGCCGAGCAGTCGGTGCGTGGGGTGCTGCAGCGTCTGGAGAAGGAGAGGGAGAGCAAGAGGGGCTCATGGTGGTGCCACGTAGACATGGACATGTTCTACTGCGCCGGTACGTACGTCAAAACACACAGCACGACACACACATCACATCGTCACCTCTGTGTGTCGTCCTGGTTCCCTCAGTCGAGATCCGCGACAACCCATCTCTCAAGGACAAGCCCGTGGCTGTGGGCGCCGGACCCCGCTGCACTCTCTGCACCGCCAACTACATCGCGCGCTCGTACGGTGTGCGCAATGCCATGCCCGGCTTCATCGCGCAGAAGCTCTGCTCAGATAAGGGCGCTACTCTCGTCTTCGTCCCGTAAGGAGTACACACAACGACACACACACACACACACACACACAGGCAGGCAGGCAGGCAGTGTGCTTGCATTTCATTCGTTTCCCTGCTTGTGGCTGTGTTGTTCAGGCCTAGAATGAACAAATACGCCGAGGAGTCGAAGGTTGTGCGTGAGGTATGGATGTTGACACACACATGGTGGTAGTCTGTGTGTGTGTGTATGTATTGTTCTCGTGTGTGCAGGTGTTGTCAGAGTTTGATCCTCACCTGAAGATGGGCTCGCTCGACGAGGCCGTCCTCAACCTCACTGACTACCTCAAGTAACCCATCGCCCTCATACGGAGATGGATGCTCGTTTTTCTGTGCTGATTGGTCGTCTCTGCAGGAAGAATGGTCTGGACAGTCACGAGGGCAGAGTGCAGATCGCCACACAGATACGTCAGAGGTAGGTGACGCTCCGCCCACCAAATCGTGCGGACTGCCGTCGATGAATGTGTGTGTGTGTGTGTGTGTCGTCTGTAATCATCAGGATAGCTGAGCGCACTGGAGGTCTGACGGCGAGCGCAGGCATCGCTCCCGGCCGCATGATTGCGAAGATCGCATCCGACATGAACAAACCCAATGGTACGCACCACAATACACCGAGTGGGTCCCCAATGGGCTGCTGCTGGCACTCCCTTTGTCACGTGCTCACCGATTAGGTCAGACGATCGTCGAGGAGCGTGATGCAGTGGGCTTCACGGACAACCTGAGCGTGCGCAAGATACCCGGGGTGGGCAAGGTAAGTACGTCAGCCGTCCGCTGTCTGCCCCGCCAAACACTGGGTGGATCCATCCGAGCGTCCTTTTGTTTCTGTGTGTGTGTTGTGCTTGCAGGTGGGTGAGCGCAAGCTGGAGGCGCTCAACATCAAGACCTGCCGCGACATCCTCGACAACGCCGTTCTCATCACACAGGTGTGTAGGCGAATCGTGGATGCGTCCATCTGTCCATCTTTTCCACGTGTGCGGTGTGGTGGGTGTCAGCTGTTCACCGACCCCTTCAGGCATCTGCTGCTGCGTGCGGCCATGGGTGTCGACGGCGAGCTCAAGGAGCAGGAGCGTAAGTCGTTCTGCTGCGAGCACACCTTTGACGCGACCGACGACCGCACGAAGCTCGAGAAAGTGCTCAGGAACATCGCTGCGGCACTCGCAAGTAGGCGACCCATCACCACTATTTGTTGTCACGGATGGACTCGTTGCTGTCGTGTCCTTGCATGCGTCAGAGGATCTGAAGTCGGATCGCATGAAGAGCAGACACGTCACCATCAAAGTCAAGACGGCCGACTTCAAGGTTCGCAGAATCGACAACACACCAGAACCTGTCATCAGCAACACTCCGTTCCTGTCCCTCTCCATGCGGCTGTATGTCAGGAGCGGAGTGTCGCGATGCAGCTCTCGCGCAACACCGACGAGACCGACGACATCGCCGCTGGCGCGCGCAAGGCCCTCAACAAATACATCGACACACACGGCCTCCCCCGCATCCCGCAGCTGGGCATCAAGTGTGCCGGTCTGAGCCGCGTCATTGGTGCACACGGAGAGGCAGCGCCTAAGGGCACCATCGACTACCTCCTGCAGCAGCACAAGCACAAGAGGGGCAAGGGCAATGACAAAGAGGGAACGGTCGCCGAGATCGAGGATGAGCAGATGCAGCCGGAGGACGAACAGATGGACATCGAGATAGCCCACTGTGAGCGACACGCGGACCCGCTGCCCGATGTCATCGACTTAGACGAGTACGAGGAGCACCCCCACAGCAACCCGCTGCCGCCGTCATCCTCGTTCAGCAGCCGCCCTGCCGCCCCTCTCCCCCAGAAGCGATCGCGGCCCTCAACCGCTGCACAGCCCAAACCATCGGTCAAGAAGGGCAAGAGGAACAGCGTGCAGCCGGTGTCGGGGCCGATGGACGCGCTGCTCAAGAGGATGGCTGACAAGAAGGCGGGCGGGGGCGATGGGGGTGGTGGGAGCAGCGCGGCGGGTAAGGGCGATTGGATTGAGCTGGACTGACTAGCTTGACCGGAGATGGGGAGGGAGGGTTCACAGCTACACCATCATGCGGGCGATGTGCATACCATCTGTATGTGTACCCTCTATTCTGCATGTATCCTCTATTCTGCATGTATATAGATCAAGTCAATGAATGATTGGGGCGTGGCCTGTGTGCTTGGGTGCCATGTGTGTGCCTGTATATACTCGGGATTGCAATGATCGTATCAATGTGGTGTCTCGTCCTTCGCGAAACGACCAAGAAAGAATGGATCGCCTGTTGATACGTTACATAGGATTCGACGTGAACTCAACAGCTGGATTGAAAACGTGTTTCACTGCATCGACAAGAAGGTCTTGAGTCTGTCCATGCATCCGTGCATCCATGCAGCCATAGCAACGCACATCACCAGAGAGACAGTTTTCGAAAGCCACCAGTAAGGCAGGCAGGCACCATGCAGAGAAGCCGAAGAGCGTCCATTGCGTCAGAGGATATACAGACAGACTCGCATCCATCCATCCGTCCAGCCATCCAGCCTATTGAGCAGCAATGCGTTGCAAACCGTTGTGTTGTGTGTCTCTCAGAGTCTCTGTCTGGTATTTGTCTGTTGCACCTCTGGGAAGTGTGTATCACCCGTGCCAGAATATCCCTCATGCATACGTGCGCATCCATTCATCCCTCCCTTGCTGTGTCTTGCGGATTGATCAGATAAGAGGTCGGGGGCTCTTGTCGTTGTTGTCGATGCCGTTGTCGTCCACGGGCGGCTTGATGAGTGCCAGCAGGTTGGCCGCCATCCTGCGACGCCGCTGCTCCCGAAGCACGAAGGCCGGCATCGGCACGTTCTCCCTGCATGCGCACATCATTGCAAATGACATTGTCCGCTCCGTCTCCCTCCTCAGTTGCGTACGGGTGTGGCGAGCGCTTAAATTCTGGGCGGTACCAGCGCTTCGGGCGGCGCTCGTCGGGTATCGGGGGCTCGCCATAATCCATCACGTTGACGTTGAATGGCTCCCGGGCCTCCTCGTCGTTGAGGAGGCGGACGCCGGGAACCCACAGGGCCAGGCGGCTGCCGACGACACGAGTCGACATGCGAACGATGCTGTGCGAGTTGATTTGCACTGAGAAGGGGCGAGATTGCTGTTGTTGTGGCGGGGGGCAACTTTGCCATCAGAAGCTCGCAGTCGAGAGAAGGAGAAGAAAGAAGAGCCCGTTTCTCATTCGGCACGTATGCAGATTAGCGTGCTTGAGTGAGTTCGATTGCAGAAGGATGCTCGGCAAGAAGCGGAAGGTTGATGTTTGTAGGAAGTCAAAGACACGACCGGCCTGGGATGGACGGACGGATGGATGGATGAGGAAGGAAACAATTAAGCTTTGCAACGTGAACAGCAGCGGCAGAGTGGCCTTGTACACACACACGACAGACCGATGATATAACGTCATTCGACAAACCTTCGTGTGTGTCTCTGTCTCCATGTTGATTGATTGACAAACACTCCGTACCTACCAACACACAGACGGTCAAAATCGCCGTCTCACTCACGCACACGTGCAGAGATCAGCCGCTCTTGATCACCCCACACACCCCACACCCCGCTGCCCATTAAAACACACACGAGTCAGCTTACAAAAATGCCGGTGTCATCAGACATGACCTTATCTGATACCGACACACATACCATACCCC